GCTGGCTTCGGCCTCTTTTGCTCTAGCTTGACTCAGGTCGTCGCTAGTCGTCCCTTCCTAGGAGCACTCGGAGAGAGGTGGTGGGACACCACCAACTCCTTCTATTTTTCCATCACTGGGGAGATGATAATGACTCCTTACGACTTTGCCATGATCACCGGCTTAAACGTAGGGGGCGATTTGATCCCTATCGATACAGATATAGAGGAGTGAGAGGCGACCTGGTTCAAGCTGCTGGGGGCACATCCACTTATATACTAGACGGGGATGGTCAAATACACTTGGTTTACCGAGTGATTCAGAGGGACCGAGCTCGAGACGATAGAGGAGATCGAGCAGTACACCAAGGGCTTCCTGATGTTCATCTTCGGTACCACCTTGTTTTCGAACAAGTGGAACACCGTAGGCCTACATTTGCTGAGTGCCCTAGTGATCCTTCCTTGGGTTCATTTTTATGATTGGGGTGGAGTCGGCCTCGCCGCTTTATACGGATACATGAGCTCTACCTCCCATCTACGGGGAGACCTGATTGGAGGCTACTGGCAAGCCTGGAAGGTACATATCTCAATTCCCTCTTAGCATTTTACAGTTTCTTTACAGTTTCTTCTTTACATCTGTTTCAACACATGTGCTTTTTGCTTTGCACTTTTTGTACCTACTTAGACATTGTTCATACACTCTGCTTTCTGTTTTGCATTTTCTGCATCTGCTCAATACTGTATTGACCACATATCATTGCATTTTCCCTGCAGCTACAGCTATGGGTGTATGCATATTTCCCGACTCTCGCCCTGGGAGCCTGTAGAAGAGCTTCCATTGGCAGTTCCCTGTTCGCGGATATATGATAGGACCCGTGAGCCCTTCACGTTCTTCAGGCATTACTTCGACACAATAGCTACCCATGAGGTACTCTGAAACACAGTCATTTTTTCTTTGAAACTATTTTGCTTCACACATTTAGCAACTGAAAGCAACTAATCATCTGTACAACTTCTATTTACAGATTATGTGGCAGCCATGGGCCACGATGCCAGTAGGGGTCCGACACCAGTTTGCTGGGGCTTGGGCCACTTCCCGCTACCGCATCCTACTCGAGGACCCGGTTCTTGGGCGAGCGCTTCGTGCGCTAGATTATGGGTCTGCCCGACCTGATTGTCCCGATGGCTCCGCCAGAGTCTATGCGATCCACAGACAGCCTATCTGTTGAGGAGGTTATCCAGTTCATGGTGGGCTTGGACACCAACTACTTCCGAGCAGAGGGCGACTATGCGGCTTTTATCCAAACACATCTAATGTCGCCCCTGATCGGTGTTCTTGGAGCTGAGGAGACAAGAGCTCCTACCGCGAGGGAGAGAGCTAAAGTGACCTAGGCGAGCACGGACCGTGGCAGAGGGGCTTCCCGGGCGAGGCAGAGGGCTGATTGGCCAGAGCTTCCTACTACGCTAACTTGTTGACGACACACCGAGGATGCCTACCAGGTTCTGATTGAGCCCGCGACGGCTGGCCATAAACTTGTCAGGGTCCGAGGCCCGACTCAGGTATAAATCCCACTTTACATTTGCACCCCATACTTTATTTCAGATATGTTCATTTGCAGATACTGATCATTCAAATTGCATTTACAAGCATCCATCGAGTACATGGGAGGCACTCTCGAGCTGACACTACAAAAAAAAGTGTTTTTTGCGACGGCAAAACGCCGTCGCAAATGCCCCATACGCCGTCGCTAATACTTTTTGCGACGGTAATTTGGTTTTTTGCGACGGCAAGTGGGGGTTGTGACAAAGGGGGTTGCAAAAGGGCTTTAGCGACGGTAAGTGCCGTCGGCAAGTGGGGGTTGTGACAAAGGGGGTTGCAAAAGGGCTTTAGCGACGGTAAGTGCTGTCGCCATTGTTTTTTGCGACGGGAGAGTGCCTTTTTTTGCGACGGCAATTTTCAGTCGCCAATAAGTGAAGAAAATCTGAGTTTTTGCGACGGTACAGTATTTCCGTCGCTAAAATGGGTTTTTTGAGACAGCAAGAATACCGTCACTAAAAGAGTCATAGCTGATAACTATTGGCGATAGCAATCTGAGCCGTCGCTAAAGGTTTATTTTTCAATTACATTCCATAGCTTTTGCGACAGTATGGGTGCCGTCGCAAAAGCCTCGTACAATTTTTTTTGCAACGGGTGGTATGCCGTCTCAAAAAAAAAAAAACTGTTGGGAAATTATTAAAAAAATTAAAATAACCTGTATTAAATAGAAAATAACTATAAAAAAATCTAAAAATTACATAATAATATAAATACATACATAAACAAAAGTTGACAAATAATGAAAATTCATAATGTTGTTCCATTCATAACAACACATAAATAAAAATTAATAACAATAAAAATTATGCCACTACAAAATGTCGCATAATACATACATAATGTTGTTCACAAATTTAAATAACATAAATCAAAATCAAAATCAAAACCAAAAGTTTTTGTCTTGATTCTTTCGTGGGTTACAAAAACAAAAGTTGGTCATAATCTTTATACGCCCGCATTCCACAAGAAGCAAATTGCTACTCAGGAAATATCTGAAAAAGACAAGATAAAAATAATTAATAACCATATAATGGTGTTAATATTTTAATTACAGAAAAATATAAAAAAAATTGACTACTATATAATTAGAAAGATAGTTTATTAAATAATTTTGACTAGACCGAAATCCGACTCTAACTCCCAAACCGGGAACCCGATTCGAGCCCCGTCTTCTCCCACAAGTCTCTCGTGCCTAGGCAGTCGTGTGTGCCAAGTTTCGTGCTAAACCGACGCCGTTTGGTGATTTTGGGGCGTTAACACCTCGAATTCAAGTTTCTTAATGAACTAATTTGCCTAAAGTGAAATCCGGCTGTAACTCCCAAACCGGGAACCCAATTGGAGTCTCGTCCTCTCCCACAAGTCTCTCGTGCCTAGGCGGTTGTGTGTGCCAAGTTTCGTGCTAAACCGACAGCATTCGGTGATTTTGGAGTGTTAACACCTCGAATTCAAGTTTCTTAAGGAACTAGTTTGCCTAAAGTGAAATCCGGCTCTAACTCCCAAACCGGGAACCCGATTGGAGTCCCGTCTTCTCCCACAAGTATCTTGTGCCTAGGCGGTCGTGTATGCCAAGTTTCGTGCTAAACCGACGCCGTTTGGTGATTTTGGGGCGTTAACACCTCGAATTCAAGTTTCTTAAAGAACTAGTTTGCCTAAAGTGAAATCCGACTCTAACTCCCAAACCGGGAATCCGATTGGAGTGCCGTCTTCTCCCACAAGTCTCTCGTGCCTAGGCGGTGGTGCGTGCCAAGTTTCGTGCTAAACCGACGCCGTTTGGTGATTTTGGGGCGTTAACACCTCGAATTCAAATTTCTTAAAGAACTTGTTTGCCTAAAGTGAAATCCGGCTCAAACTCCCAAACCGGGAACCCGATTGGAGTTCCGTCTTCTCCCACAAGTCTCTCGTGCCTATGCGGTCGTGTGTGCCAAGTTTCGTGCTAAACCGATGCCGTTTGGTGAATTTGGGGCGTTAACACCTCGAATTCAAGTTTCTTAAGGAACTAGTTTGCCTAAAGTGAAATCCGACTCTAACTCCAAAATCGGGAACCCGATTGGAGTCCTGTCTTCTCCCACAAGTCTCTCGTGCCTAGGCGGTAGTGTGTGCCAAGTTTCGTGCTAAACCGACGCCGTTTGGTGATTTTGGGGCGTTAACACCTCGAATTCAAGTTTCTTAAGAAACTAGTTTGCCTAAAGTGAAATCCGGCTCTAACTCTCAAACCGGGAACCTGATTGGAGTCTCGTCTTCTCCCACAAGTCTCTCGTGCCTAGCCTGTCGTGTGTGCCAAGTTTCATGCTAAACCGACGTCGTTTGGTGATTTTGGGGCGTTAACACCTCGAATTCAAGTTTCTTAAGGAACTAGTTTGCCTAAAGTGAAATCCGGCTCTAACTCCCAATTCGGGAACCCGATTTGAGTCCCGTCTTCTCCCACAACTTAGAATGTAAAGAATGCAAAGATACATTTTTGCTTAGAATGCAAAGATACATTTTATACCTGATCTTCTGGTGTTGGTGTATATGGATTCTCGTCTTCTGCAGATTCTCTAAATGCCCGGTGGCCACTCAATGCATCAGGAACCTATGATAGTCAATGCATAATGTGCTAATCATATTCGAATTTTATACATAATCTTGTGTGAAAATTGAACAATCAAACAATTTAATTTATATCGAACCCTGTCTGTTGGGATCCACACTCGCCCCCTGTGACACAAAGGCCATCATCTCAGCTCTCATCTGCTGTAAATGTGTAGAGAACTCTGCTCGCAACTCCTCCCTCAACTCATCCCTTAGCTCTGCACGAACCTGCTGCATGAGCTGATCAATAGTCGATGGCTGGGGTGTTGACTGTGATGGCCCAACACCATCTTTATACACCGCTCTCCGAGGCACAATTCTCCCGTATGTGCGACAATATCCATGTCCGTCATGACCTATCAACTCATGGAAAATGGCATTCCTAGCCTCCAAAGTCCAACAATCCTCAGGTAGCATAGAGAGTTGACGATTAAACTCATCCTGTGTTGAATAAGACATACATGTATATGCCAAATTAAAATGGTTGACACACAAAAAATAAACTTTAAATACAATCAAAGATGTTTGGAAACTACCAAGGTCTGGATAACCTCTGGGTCATCTGCTCTACTTGTCATAAGCTAAACATTCATCTTATCAGTAGACTCCCCCTTATTGGTCATCTACATTTTTTTAGAAATATGAAAATTAGAATCCAAATAATTTGCAACTATACAATGTTTATTTATATACAAAAATAAAACAATAAAATGTAAACCTCTTGCCGTATCTGAGAGAAAGTAGTACGTCCTGTGGTATGAGCTATGCCGTGAGCTCGCCGATTTTTAGCGTTCCTACTTGCAATTTTCTATAACAGGTTCAACAAATGTAAGTATGTAAATATGATTTGTACGTTTACATATCATAAATATAACTTATTTGTATACCTCAGCATCAGAAGTATGCCAATACTCCACTAGTTCTTCCCACTGGCTTGGCACAATGTGCAAAGGAACATCATCCTTCAGATTAGGATCAGAACTTCTAGGCTTGAAATACGTAGCCTTAATCTTGTTCTTATGATCCTTCCATATGCTGTTGCAGTTTTTCATGCAGATTGGCTTGTACTCCTCTGGACATATATTCAAATTGTCCTATAAAACACAATTTCAAAGTTTAAATAATAATAACATAATTTTGGAATTCGAATTTGTAGACAAAAATATAGTTTTACCTTCACATCCTTCCAAATAGCATCAACAATATCATCAGGCACATTGTTCCAGTCAAGAAAAATAAAAGGAACAATGTTACCATTCCGCACAATAATGTCAAGTTGAGTAGTTAACTTAGCCACGTTATCCCCTATTAGGCAGTAATTTTCATCAAATTGTATGTCCAGCTTTTTACCAGTACCCCAATCTTTAATGCCCTTGGCACATCCTCTACCACGCCTAATCGAGGTTGATGAAGAACAAACATGACCTGCGAGATACAATAACAATAAACAATATGCAATGGTAATAAACAAATGCAAATTTAAATAATGTGAATGCAAATCGAATTCTTATACCTGAGGTGGGCTGTGAAAAAGTCGAAGGGTCTGCAAAATACAATGAGAATAAACAAGTTATATATAATGAGCATAAATAAATGTATGTGTAAATAATTTTCATACAAATCAAAGCAAATTTATATACCTGCGGATGACTCATGAGCTGATGACTCTAGTCGGGATGATAGCTGCTGTGGTGCCACTGATGGTGGACGCACCGATGGTAGGCGTGGAGGCTGAGTACATGGTAGCTGCTGTGGTGCCACTGATGGTGGACGCACCGATGGTAGGCATGGAGGCTGAGTACATGGTAGCTGCTGTGGTGCCACTAAAGGCCCC